TGGCCTGATGTTGTCATATGGACCTGAATGTCTCTCCAGCTTAATGCTCTCATATTCATTATATTCTCTTGGATAAGTGTAAGATGCTTCAGGCTCTTCTGTATTTTCCATCAGCTCTGAATTCATTGAATTCTCTTCTCTTTCACTGTATTCTCCCTTCACTTTAACCAAATCATCTACAGATGAAAGATAAAAATCACAAAAATGAAAAATGATTGTTAGAAGCCACAAACTGTCTCTATAACAAATTCATATAATTTAAAATAAAATTATACATAAAATAACTGCTCAAATTTCATTTACAACCATAAAGACAAAGAAAGGTGGATATGGCACTGGTCCTACATTTCTAATGACAATATTAAGTAGCATCTCTGACAAAAAATAAAGCTGTTTGCTAATTGGATTTGATGGGCTATTTTGAATTTATAAAACTCATAGTACACTATACAGAATATGATTATTGTAATGCATATACTCTACCATATATAAAAGGAAATGCTTTTTAACACAGTGTGTAATTAGACAATAGAAATCATTGTCACAGGATGTTGCCGAGACCAAGACTGTAGAGCATTCTTGCATCTTCCTCTGATCCATTTGGTGTTTGCTGCTTAGATAAACCCTGAGTCTGATCCAATATGTTTCCGATGTTCTGATAAGATTGCAGGATAAAAAAAGATCAAATTTTCATTCTCCTGAACTGTACTCATGAGAAATACTAACTTTTACTTCAAATGGCAATGTTTATCCAACAATCTCAAATTCATTAGAAGTATGAACTAACTTTATAGAACATGTTATAAAGATGAATAAAATTAGGCATAGCAAAGGCAAAAGGTCATTCCTCCCAGAGATATTAAGAGATCTGTCTAAAGCTACATAGCAAAAGCGTGGCAAAGAACCCAGGGAGTCCTGAATATCAGTGTCTAGATGATGCTGTATTCCTTCTCCTAAATGCCTCTGGCCTTATGTTAGCCATGCAGGGAAAATAGAACTCAAAGATAATCTCTTGGTTTTTGCAAGACAGGGCTGTAGTATAAGCAGGTGACCATTTATAAATAATAACCCCTCACTCAGAAGACAGTAATACTCCAGGAATGAAAAAAAGAGCCATTTGCACTGGATTAGCAGTTGATTAGTTGTAACTCAGTTTGCTGCTTCCCCGTTTCATTACAGACTCATGTCAGCAGCACTCAAGTTTCATTTTTATACCACCAAATAAGCCAACTAGTTTAGACTTAAAGCACCACTTAATTCAAGCTTTAGTTTTTTGTGTGTAGACAGGAGTCAAGTTAGGGACAAAACTTGAGTTATGCCTCAGACTAACGATGCAATGAGGACAAACCCTCAGACAGAAAGTATGCAATTTTCCATCTGGAAGTGTTGCATTCATAGCCACCTGCTCCTTTCTAGAGCTGAAAGCAAGACAGTTAAATATTGCCTTCCTGTTGTGTGAGATGCTAAGACTCTTGCCCTTTCTCCAGAACATGGACTACTGAAACTGCATTATCTCTGGATCTGCTAAGAAACCACATAAGATTCAAAGAAAGAACAATTAGTGCCAGTGAAACTGAGGTGATAGGGTAAAAGTGTTAAAAAATAAAAAGCCAGCAATAAACCTTTTCACAAATTCCAAAATTCTCAACCCAAGCTTGACAAAAAAGTATCCCTACAACCTAAATGCTTGTGTTGAGGTCAGAAAATTATGCAGCCAAATATATTTCTGCATAAGAATATGTCCTTTTCTTCATTAAGGTATTTTTTCTACCTGTGGCCTTACTTCTGGATAATGGAGGGTGGGAGAACCAGGTAAGTGGCAGTTGATCCATCCTATGGAGAAATCCATAGGAGGTCCTGTTGATGAGAAAGCATTTTTTTGTCAATGGGATGTCAGTTTCTTTCTCATTCCAAGAATGACCAATGGAATAGGCTTCCCAGAGCCCATATATCCAAAAACTCATCCAGTTTTGTTAGGGGTAAAGGGGTCAAATGTCACACTGACAGGGTTTTCCTGCTTTTTGCTGCAACCCTGTGACAGGAGTACCTCTACCAAAGTATTCCTATTGGTGACTCCACCCTCCTGTTATGAGCCAACCGCCTGCTTACTCACCTGCCATGCATTGATCTTAATTGGTTAATTAATAGATGTAATTAGCAGGAGGCTGTCTTTTTTTTTTTTGCCCCGGTGCCAGGGGGCACTATCTGCAGCTCCTTTTCC